GAAGGACAAACAGAAGATCGGGGAGGAGAAAGGAAAGAGAAGAGCTGAGACGCGGCCGGGGGCCTCTCTAAGAGGCAAGGGGGAAACCTCCCTCCCCGCTGCCGCTTGCTCTCCCCTGCTCTGCCCCTGCCCTGCACAGACCCCAGCAGTGCGGCCGTGGCTCTGCTCCCATCCCGACAACGCCTGAGAAGAAAACCTGACATCACCCTTGTTCAGGGGAAACACCTTGGGTTTAACTTGTCCTCCCCTGGGTTTAATTTATCTTCCCCAGGGCTGTGAACAGATCAGGAAGGACTGACCCTGAGTGCTTTAACTGCACAAGTCAGATCCCAGACTTCCCCAGGTCTTTGCTGCAGCTCCAGTTATTTATTTTTATGGAAGTTTGTCTTTTCTGACTAATCAAAAGAGGATTATGATTATTATTACTACTATTATTGTCTTTTTCCTAGCAAGGGAACAGCTTGTTTCCCTTCCTCCTCCCTCTGTAGGCCGGGGATTAGGATGTTTTTTAAAGCAAATCTTGCAGGTGACGAGAGGCGAGCGGCATGGTCCCCCACCCGCAGCAGAGCTGGCGGCCCAGGGCTCAGGGGCTGCAGGGCACGGCTCCAGCCCCTTTTCCTGCACGTCACCGGCCCACGCAGCAATCCAAGCCAGCACTTGGGGCACCTCCTGGGTAAGGGGGACAGCAAAGCAAGCCCGGGGCTGAACACCTGATACAGGGTTTGCCCGATTAGGGAGACAAAAGTTATTACCATCGTGTCCAGCCTCTTGCCAGATCCCCAAACAGGGCAGCATACAGCACCGGGACCAGTCACGCAGTTCCCAGTCATGGCGCGATTGTACTGTCCAAGCTGTGCAGGGATATGGGGGGGGTCGGGGTCCTTTCGGAGCAGGGCATGAGGAGCCTGTGGGTGTGGGTACGGGAGAAGCCCTTGGGGCTTGCAGGACTTTGAGCATCGAGGAGGTGGTTTAATTGTGTCAGAGTCAGACCCCAAACCCGGGTCCTTCCACGTGTCCTTGCTCCAGTGCACACCATGCTGCCATTAAATATTAAGCTGCCCCAGCGTACAGGGTCCTGCAGCTGAGCTCCAGGCATTCCACCCATCTAGGTAATTACTTAATTAATGAGCCTTTTAGCTTCCCACTGCCTCTTTGCCAGCAGCTGCCAGGGATCGCCCTGCGGTGCAGGGGGAATGCCGGCACCGCCGTGTTACTCGCCTGCGGCACCGCTCCACGTCGGGGTCCTCGCGATAGTACTGCAGCCCCCCATTGCGCAGCGCGTCCTCCGGGTTTGCAAATGCCTGCAAGAGAGAGTCCCCACAGTATATGTGCTCATAATGTTTTCAGGAGCTTTACAGGTAGAAGCTTTGCCCCCAGTCTTTAAGACCGGTGGGGATTTCTTCCTGCCCAAGGGGACCTTTCAGCCCCAGTTTCTCACCACCCTTCACGAACACAAGAGTAACTGCACTTCCACGGGCACGGTCCTGGGGGTTAAACCTTCCACCTCCCAACGGGTTTTCCTTATCCTCTGCAAAACCCAACTCTGCCCACCAAGCAGGTCCCAAACCGGGGGCTTCAAGGGAGCTCCGGCCTGATCCCAGTCCACTTCTTCCAGTTGTTGTGGTTTAACCTGGCAGGCAGCTAAACGCCACACAGCCGTTCGCTCACTCCCCTCCGCCCCAGTGGGATGGGGGAGAGACTCGGGGAAAAAAAAGTAAAATTCATGGGTTGAGACAAAGACAGTTTAATAGGACAGAAAAGGAAGGGGAAAAAAAATTAATAATACTACAGTGCTGTGTTTTGGATTTAGGATGAGAACAATGTTGATAACACACCGATGGTTTAGTTGTTGCTGAGCAGTGCTTACACTAGGCAAGGACGTGCACGAGAAGCTGGGAGGGGACACAGCCAGGACAGCTGACCCAAACTGGCCAATGGGATATTCCATATCATGTGACGTCATGCTCAGTACATAAACTGGGGGCAAACTGGCCAGGGGTGCCGCTGCTCGGGGACGGGCTGGGCATCGGTCAGTGGGTGGTGAGCAATTGCATTGTGCATCACTTGCTTTGTATAGTCTTATTCTTATTACTATTATTATTATTTTATTTCCATTATTAGACTGTGTTTATCTCAACCCACGAGTTTTCTCACTTTTACTCTTCTGATTCTCTCCCCCATCCCACCAGGGTGGGGAGACTGAGCGAGTGGCTGTGTGGTGCTCAGTTGCCAGCTGAGGTTAAACCACGACACAACATTATTCTCACCCTAAATCCAAAACACAGCACTCTACCAGCTACTAGGAAGAAAATTAACTCTATCCCAGCCGAAACCAGGACACCAGAGAAAGAAGGAGACTTTGCCAACCACCAAATGAGATCACTGCTGGCACACAGCTTACAGATACTGAATGTGGCATCCAAAAGATAACCAGGACTGACAGATTAGTTCACCCTACGGAGAAAGAATATTCCCTGGCTGGCTTTTTGGCAGTGATACCATGTGACTGAAACCAGCCCTGGGGAAATCGGATCCTACACTAATAAACTTACAAATAAAAATTATTTATACGAGCTCCCTACCTATGCTCAGAAGCTGCTCCTCAGGGACCTGGTTACACGCGACAGCTTCACTTTGCAGCCTGGAAAGGACCCTGGCGCTTTCTTTAATCATGTTACAAGCCCAGACTGTTCCCATTCCGAAACACAAGGGGAGAAGCCAAATCATCCGTTACAAAGATGCTACAGCACAGGAGTGTCTGTCTTTGTATTTTATCTGAGAGCAGAAATCTTTCCCTCCCACTCCATTGATGCAGTCGGAAACTTCTCAAATACTTTAAAACAGATTTTACAGACAGCTGAGTTTTGCCACGAGTTCAATTTGGGTTGCGGGCGATGAAAGGTCCAGTTAACCTCGTCCCCTGACGGCAGCTAGAGCTCCCGGTCCTCCCTGTATTTTCCCCCGTGTCCAAAACCCATTTCCTCCAGCTATTGTTTTTATGCCCCACGACTTTCTCCTCTCCTGGAGCATTCACGTACTGATTCAGCCTCCGAAAGCAGGAGAGCTTTCTGTTACATTGCAAGAAAAAAGACCATTGCAATGATTTGTTCTTAAACCTTCCCCCCCCCCTTTTCTTCCAGACATGGCAAACGAACTGTAAACAGTCTCTTTCCAGAAGCAGCTCACCTGCATGGCATTTTAGATCTGAAATTACTATTTAGACTAGGATTCAGAAATTATAAACATCAAGCTACAGATGGTAGAAACAAACAAAAAGAGCCAAAGAGAAGTGAGATATTTATCTGCTGCAGCTATGAAACATGCTTTGCTTTCAACTTCAGTCAAAGAAAACTCAACTTGCTTCAGGAAAACTTTGTTGGCCTTTACAGGAATAAAAAAATAAAGAAAAGCCACAGAAACCCAAGGAAAAAGCCAGAAAGGGAGAAAAAGGTAACTGGAACTTACCTTCTTTCTGAGTCTCACTTGTCCCGTAATGATGGCAACGACATACATTTTTAAAATCAAGATCGTGCTGTAGAACGTAAATGACATAAACACTGTGTTTTCCATCATTTCGGGGGAAGGTGCCGCTCAGTCGCCTGCAGCACTCACAGCCAGCGGAGATCTTGCTTGGGCTGCGAGAGGGCTCTGCGGGAGAGGGGGCAGGAACAGCCACATTTAAAGACAACAGAAGTCACCACTGTTTCTTCGGCAAAAGCCCACAGCCCCCGTAGACCCCTTCGGGCCAGACAGGAGTAAATGATGCAGCAGAGCTGCCGGTGAGCAAACCCCAGCCTGGGACACAGAGCAGGCTGCCCACGTTGCTCCCTGCCTCAGGCTGCTTCTGCTCCTCTCTCCCTGCCACCACCAGCTCCTCGGGGATGCGATGCCCCAAGCTGGGATACAGCCCCCTCAACTGCGTGGGCCACAGCAAGGCTCAGCCTGGCCACAGCTCGACCTCTTGCCTCCCTAAAACAGCCCACCACGATCCCTCTGCCTCACCTCCCCTCCTGTTTGCGCCCAGAGGGACGGAGCTGCACAGAGCATCCCTCGCCCAGCCAGGCACTGTTCACCCAGGGACACGAGCCGATCAGCCCTGGGAAGAAGGAGGAGTTAGGAAGAAGGTAGGCACCTACCTCAGCCGCATCCAGCCCTGTGCTCCTGCGCTCCCTCCGTGCCCGGTCCCACAGCCCACCCCTCCGTGGCAGCGTTCCCAGTACTCCCCAGTCCCGCCCAGTGCGGGCTGAGCGCTCCCGTGGCAGAGGCAGCCAGCCCTCCCCTACACAGTCACCTGCCGAGGGATGGGGCACAGGGGACAGAACCATCCCTTCCCCCACCAGCGCCCATCACCCGGGGGCCTGGGCTGCCCCTGTCCCCCCCCCCCGGCTGGGAGGGGAGCTCCCAGGGGGAGCAGCCTGGAAGCACAACCAGGCAAGTCATGGACCGCAAAGCCCCAAACCTGCAAATAGAAATAAACACCAGCCTGCCCAGCCCCAAAGACAGCTCGTCCTGGCTTTCTCCGAGAGGGTGAATCAGGGCAGTTGGGTGTAATTTTGCCCTCGGTCTAGAAAGTGGCATTTGAATTTGGAGCTGGCTTTTCCCCAGCCATCAAACACTGGTGCAGAAAGAGTTGGGATCAGCCTCTGCAGGCAGCTGGGCTGCTCTTCCAATGCAAACCTTTAACTCCTTCTTCCCCAGCCCCGGCCCCAGCGCTGGCAGCAGCAAACCTCTGGTGAGCCGGCAGCATGGAGGCTGATAGGAGCTCTCCAAGTTTGTTAGTGTTGAAGGGCTGGATTTGGCGTTCAGTTCCTTTACAGGGGGAGGAAGACTTATTTCAGGAAAATGGAAACTTTCGGAGATTGAGTGGAAAATGAACGCTTTGAGGATGCAAGTAGTTTTTTAATTAACTGACATGTTGGAATAAAAAAAGTTGTTTCAAGCCACAAAAAAGCCTCAAAAAACAATGAACAGAGTACAACGGTTTGTCATTTACAAAACCATCTATCGAAGCGTTAGTGCCTCCAGGACTGGTTTTGTTCTTCAGGGCTTTTTAACTTTTTAACTGCCATTGAGCGAAACTAATCCTGTCCTTTCCAAGAGGGTCCAGAGTAACCCAAGAGGAGCATCGCACTCAGCCCAGGACCAGGCTCCAGTCCCGTCACTACAGACCCTGTTGCACAAGGACAAGTTTGTCCCCAGCAATGGGACACTGGTAGCACTTTACTCCCCAGGGAGAACAGGCTACAGGAGCCTTTTTCCCGGGGTGCTGGTGTGAATTTAAGGCAGCCTCGTGCTCTGGGCACAGCGGCTCTGGGCCCAGGTGATACAGAAGTACCGTCAATGCAAGCACGAGTCAGGTTATATGGGCAGGTCCGGAAGGTCGGCTCCTGCTCAGGGAGCAAGCCAAGAAGGAAAAGAGTCACCTTTCCATCTGGGCAGCGTTATCCCACCAGCCCTGACCAGTGGCCGAGGGATGCCACAGGCCAGCCCCTGCCTCTGCCCCTGCAGAAGGGAAGGTTACACCATTTCTCGTATTCCCAGCAAACGGTCAGCGTGGAGTCACACCAGGACAGCTTTCCTGCCAGGATTGGTGCTGCGGAAGAGGTTTTGCTCCTGCCACGCTCAGCTTAGATGTGAGCTGCGTGCTCCAGCCATCCCAGCCAAGAGCTGAGCTCTTCCTGTGCCCGTCCAGAGCAGACATCCTTCCTTCCACCCCAGCCTGCCCAGCTCCAGACCCCTGCGCTGCTCCCAGCCTGGCAGGGCAGGGCTCAGAGCCGGAAAGACCCTTCAAGCACACGATCTCCCTCCCGGCATGGAGATCTGCAAATTCTCTGCGTTTGCCTCTGAATCTCCCTCGCCATGGCTGTTCTGCCCTGATGCTGCAAACCCAAAGATGCCACACCGCTCATTGCGATGCACTGGCTCAGCCCCATGACATCCAAGTGTGCAGAGAGCCTTTGAAAACTCCAAACACTTGGTTTCAAGGGAGAAGTACTCACAGCTGGTCACCACCACCCTGGCGTCAGGGCGGCTGCAGAACAAGTCCCGGCAGAGCCCAGTGTGGAGCTCCATAGCCCGGCAGTGAATGCCTCCAACGGGCTGCTTCCCCAGGGGTGGGAATGGGGACACCAGGACACGCAGCAGCCGTGTGGATTCAAACACTGCGGTAAGGGCTGGGGTGTTCACCCTGGACCCCAGCCCTGTCCTGCCACCAAACTGCATCCAACCCTACTCACATCTCCCTGGAGCTCGGCAGAGTATTATAAACACAGTAATGCCAAGCATAAGCAGTTGATGGCAAAGCCACATCCCAAACACTTCTCCCTCCCATCTCCCCTCTCCATAGGTGATAGGGAGCAAACCCGTAGCAGAGAAGACCTTGGTGCCCAAGGACTGGGGTGATGCAAGGGCCAGACCAGCCCTGCAGCAGGGGTGAGACTTTCTCCAGCAGCCCCTTCCCCAGCTCTCCTGGGAACCTGGGGCTAGGGCAGGCAGCCAGACCCTTCACCAACACATCACGCCCTCCATGAAGCCGCTCCAGTTTTTACCAGCTGAGGATCCAGCCCTCAGGCTCTTCGGCAGCAAGACCTTTTTCCTTTGTGCACCTTCTTCCCCTCCCGAGGCAGCCAGCATGCCTCACTGAGCA